TTTTTTTTTTTTTTTTTTTTTTTTTTTTTTTTTTTCCTAAATAAATATATGTAATTTATATAATAAAAAGAATAAAACTTTTCCGTGTTTCCGTGCTTAAAAAGCGCCGTAAGCACTTAAAATTGCGTGTGCAGCACTCGTGTAAGGCTCGTGCTTCTCCTTACACTTCTTTCGTGCTTACGTCACTTCCTGCGTGCTTTAGTATTGAACGCAGCACGGAAAAAGCTGTCTTATTCGTTAAATGTATAGCCAAAGCTGTGTGGGTTGAAGGGGAGTCCCTGGGAGATGAAGGTGCTACAAAAAAAAAAAAAACAAAAACAAAAACAAAAACAAAAAAAAAACAAACAAAAAAATCATTCATCTTTAACGAGTGTAGCCAATATACACCTTCCTTGTATAATTAATTATTTGAAAAAATATTTATAGAATGATTTTGGAATTTATTTTAAGGCCTTTCAGATTGAACAGGCAATTTAATTTATGTTTAATAAAAAAATGAACACGTCCCACAACACGTGCTCAAGGTAGCACAAGAACCAAGAATAAAATAACTATGAAACCATCATTTTACAATAACTTACAAATTTCTCGCGCGCTGATTGGTTATTTCTATCATCAATAACAGCACTGACAGATATAGCTGAGGTAAACGAGCGCACGTTCTTTCCGTTGGTTGTTTTGATAACTAAAAATGAGAAGTTTTTATCGTTTTTGTTAATGTAAAAAAACTATTAGACATCAGTTTTTATGTGTCTGTCCTTTTATTGACGATAAATTTCGTCATCACATTGTGAAAGTAGTATGCGGATATATATATATACTATAGTAGTTATTACTTCGACAATATGATGACTCAATCTAGAGGATTGACAACGAAAAACTGATGCCAATTTTTTTAAATCGCAATGCTTCCATTAGTTGCTAAGTTATACAAATTACTTACATAATAGATCATTAGCAAGACGATGGTTGTCGCGGTAGGTGTGCTGCAATAAATATCTCCAAATGGATAGTAACGACCTCCTTCGAAGAAAAATGTTAGTAAAAATTGGAAAACTTGACGAATAAATTTAGGGAATAAAGTGAATGGTATGGAATCTTCAAATTGGAATAAAGGTTAAATAATAATTTTGATATTTTTCTCCCGCTTTCTTGCACTGATGAAAGCATAAAATTATGCTGAGTTCGAAACATGTTTGCAAAGCTAAATCTGTTGGGTCTTTTTTTATTGTTAGAATATAAAATATGCTTCTGTCGTTGCTAAAAGGAAAGCCAGTAGCGCCCAATTTTAACAGGAAAAATGGGAAAAACAGAAAAACAGAAAAACTGTGTTGCAAAATTTCCTAGTCACCCGACTCCCATTCTAAAAATTCAAGAATATTTTTCTTATAAATACTTTATCCCCTGCTTATGACATTAGAATTATCTATTCAATTAAGTATAATTTTTGTTTCAGACATTATTTTAGGTATTACGCCTTTAGCCGACGTATTTTGGGTTTTGATGGTTTGCAGGATGCTAAGAACATACAAGTCAAAAATGAAGGACATTTAAGCATTTTATACCTTTTTTATCCGTCTTAATTAGTACCTTTTATTAAATGACATTGCTTTGATTCGATATGGAGACCTACTTATCTTTGAAGTCATGTAATGTTTATATCTATACCATCGTCCCCTTTCCCAAAGCCACTACCACCACCACCAACATCATCATCACCATCATCATACATTTTTGATATCACCATAACCATCACATGCGAACAGTTATCATCCTTATCATATCATTACTACCATCAGAACCACCATCACCATCACCACCAACACCATCATCATCATCACCATCATCATTACCACCAACATCATCATCATCACCATCATCATCGTCCCACCATCATTACCACCGTCAGAACCACTACCACCACCACCACCACCAACATCATCATCATCACCATAATCATCATCATTGTCATCATCATCATCATCATCAACATCATCATTACCACCAACATCATCATCATCACCATCATCATCGTCCCACCATCATTACCACCGTCAGAACCACTACCATCATCACCGTCACCACCATCATCATCATCACCATTATCGTCATCACCATCAGAACCACCACCACCACCAACAACATCATTATCATCATTTCCATAATCATTATTACTGTCATCGTTCATCACTGTTATCGACATAACCATATGATGTGGTCGTCATCATCATCTCCAACTTCACCATCACCACCATCATCGTGTATCATTGTCATTACACAACCAATATCAATTGACCGTCATCATTAACATCATCATACAGGTACCACAACAGGTACTACTCTAAAGCTAAGATTCCAGAGGCGTTCCAGAGGCTATTGAGTGTATGGGCAACAAAAGGAATAAGTTGAAGAACTAAGAAGCGACTGTTCAAGACACTAGACATTAGACCTGCCCTCGGTGTCACAGTCAACTCTCGCCTTGCGGATACCCCGACATTACAAACAACTCACTACTGTGGACAAGAGCAAAATCCCCGGCGAAAAATGCTTACAAAGAAGTGACGGTAATTAACCCTCGCTATTGCGGACACTCCTTATTACTTACACCAAGTGATGGCCCCGAGAATTTCCGCCGTAACGAGAGTTGACTTTATATCGCTGCGAACCATGGAAGATTACAAAGATTGACTAAAAGAAGCTAGACAGCTTCCAATACCAATGTCTGAGAAGAATACTAAGATCAGCTGGTAAAAAAAGACAATTCAAAAAGTGACAAAATAGAGGAGATTGAGCCCATCAGCTATGAAATGAGGAGTAAGAGATGGAAATGGATAAAGTGGAAGCGCAGAACAATAACTGGTTGTGCAAATAATGTGTCGGCCTTGTGCGCCTTCGATCTGAGCGTGAGGAGTGATCATGTGTTAAAGGATTAATAAAAACGACAGTCACAAATGCAGGGAATATCTATTTATTGTTTCACAATTTAAATGTCTTTTTTCACAAATAGAATGTCGACTTTTTTTTAGTTGATTTAGTTTAACTTAGTTATCCATTAATGTGTGCAGTTGGTAGTTGAACTGAGCAGTTTAATCGCAAAAAAGTACTTAAGGTGTCTGAAACATAGAAGAAGAAAAAATTAATATCAATAATCATAGAATATTAGAGAATATTACATGGCAATTTATTTTAGTCTTTATGGGTTTTATTAGGGAGTAAATTTGAAGTAAAATTAATTTTTTGCGCCGGTTTGTGCAGCTTAAGATAAGAGATAAGAGCAGGAGGGTATCTATAGGTAAAGTAATAAAAGCCTTGCACCATCACATGATGGCAGCCATGACAAGTGGCACAACAATAGATCTCCCTAGAAAACTGAATTCTTTCTCATGTAAACAAAAGTAGACTAAAATTTCATTGTTTCTGCCTCTTGCCATGGCTTCCAACACGTGATGGTGCAAAGCTTCTATAAGAGGCACCTTCTCCTGAAACATTGAAGCATTTCAAAGACGAATGCTACTTTTCAACGAATGCATTAGAATTATAATAAGAGCAATATCCAAAGGATTTGTTGCCCCTATTAACACGAATATAACTGAAGTTATGAAAATGCTGATGAGGATCAGGTTACCTTAATTATTTCTATTTTAGTCCTCTAGACTTTCATTCTAAGCTGATCAATAGGGGTTGCTGCCGTATGGATGTGGTGCTTGAGTTGCAGGTTGACTCTCTCCTCCATATGGATGTGGTCCTTGAGCTGCTGGTTGGCTCTCCCCCCCGTAAGGATGTGGGGCTTGAGTTGCTGGCTGACTCTCTCCTCCGTAAGGATGTGGGGCTTGAGTTGCTGGCTGACTCTCTCCACCGTAGGAAGGAGGTGCTTGTGTTGCAGGCTGACTCTCTCCACCGTATTGATTTGCTGGCTTAGTCACAGACTGGCTTTCGACTCCGTATTGATTTGGTGGCTTAGTCACAGACTGGCTTTCGACTCCGTATTGATTTGGTGGGCGCGTTGCAGGTTCACTTTCTGATCCTAAATTTAAAAAAAGGTTTCTGTTGATACACTTATAATTTGTTTGTTCCTCGAAATAAGAAAGTGATTATAGCTGGAACACATATCTAAGCTGTTTTAGAAACTTTTAAATTGATCTTTATCAAAAAAAAATCAAAAAAAAAAAAAAAAAAAAAAGATCAATTTATCGTTTAAAAATATTTCGAAGATTTTCGTATTTCGAAGATTTTCGTGTCTCTTTCCTTCCTTCCTCTCTTTCTCCATTCTCATCCCTTGGTTCCCTATAGCCATCCGTCCGTCAACCCATTCATCTATCGATTCTCTTTTCCTTCTATCTTTCCATCCACCCAGCAATCAATTCAACTATTATGCTAGAAATCTATTTCGTCTGTTCATCCAACCAACCAACGATTCGTCTATGTTCATCAAAATAGCCTTCGTCGTTCCATGTATCATGTATCCTTCTAGTCATCTATCCATTTATTGTTTGCTCTCTTACCAAAACACGGTGAGTTTGGAAAACACCTCACAACTTGTCTTGCCGCAGCTGAGCCACCGAAGCAGAACCTTCCGTTGCAAGAAGGTGCAGGGTTGTTACACAACCTTCTTCGTACTCTGATACCATAGGAGAAAGCACTTTCTCTACACGAGATACTACAGGAGGACCATGAACCCCAGCTTCCCCACATTCCATTAACTACAATATTCAGAAACATCCCTGTTAGTTTTATCATTTTTCAAAGTAGTTAATGTTTCATGTGGTGACACAAGAACTAAGAGAATACTACTGACGTAATTGCCGTCTGGATTAGTTTGGCCAACTTTGATGATCAATGGAAATGTAAATGAGTGACAATAACAATTGCCGATAAACCTGACTATTCAAATGATACTGATACGGCGGCCATCTTAAATCCTATTGTTTTAATTAAGGAATTATGGGATGAAGAGAGAGCATCCATTGCAACGAAAATTTATAGACTGTGCAGCTGTCAGGGTGTTTTCAATGAGAAGCATATCTAAAAAGCAATTGAATTTGCTGGTAGGTTGAACAGTATGCGAAACACCACTCAAGGCTTTAATTATTTGAAAACGTAGCTCTGGTACTCTATGCTTTATAAATTATCTACGCGTTTGACCCCTCGGCATCCCATTATTTAACATGGCAGTCGTATCAGCAATTACAAGAATACATCATGTCGAAGAGGTGAACGAACCTGGACAACATTGCTCATTGCAGGTTTTGAATTGTCTTGTTGCTCCTCTACACGGAGCACCACCAAATCGTGGAATAGGGTTGTTGCAAGCACGAACCCTTGAGGAACTTCCACGTCCACATGACCTAGAACATCTACTCCAACGACTCCAGTTGCTGAAGCCACCGTTCACTAAAAGCAAATCAGGAATTTAATAAAGTTTAGCTGCCAAATTAATATCGTAAAAAAACTTGAAAAAAAAAGTAAAAACCTCGTTATTTTGCATGGTAGTAATTGTCACATTTAAATGTAATATTCTCTCATTCCAGATCAAGTTTCATTCCCTAGAGTACCATTTCTATGTTTAATGGTTGTGCATTAGAAGGCACAATGATATAGAAATATAGGAAGCCCGGGTGGCGTAGCGGTGAGAGCGCTCGCTTCTCATCAATGCGACCAGATTCAAGTCCCGCCGAGCTCGGTGTCGTATGTGAGTAGAGTTGTTTGTTAGTTCTCTCCTGTTCTTCAAGGGTTTTTCTTCTGGTTCTGCGGCCTTCATCCCTCAACAAATTCCAATTCGATCATGGAACGTGGGCTACAGGTTCGTTGGCCGCTGGCTATTAAGTGTTACCCTCGAAAAAAAAGGACGCTAACCAAAATAGTAGTTGATCCAGAACGATTTCCAGGGGGTGGTTGGTACCTAGAAAGCCATCACATAGCTTTCGTTTTAGGTTTTACCTCATTCTGCATCACTATAGGATAATGTTATAGCTAAATGCATCATTGGAGCTCGGACTATTCAGCCCCAGAATACCATTCCAGTTTTATCGACACCTCGAAACAACCTCATCATGCATGGGCTGATCAAAGTCAACAAACTGCTAACATACCGATATCTTGGTATGAAAAATCGGCTCGGAGAAAACCCTTCAATTAATTTAGAGACCTATTAAACTGTACTTACGTAAGATCCCCAGTCCAGAAAAAAACCGAGATCCAAAAATACTACGAGACGAGTTCACTTACACTACAACACCTTCCGAATGTAGATATATAGAAACGCTACCTGGGCAAAATCGTCTGATGAAACATCGTCTAACTTGTTTTGCTGGTCCAACGCAAGGGTGTCCACCACCCAGTGGTGGGGTACAGTCTCTGATCCTGCTCTGCGTTGAAAGTCCACATGTCTTGCCGCACGCGCTCCAGTCAGACCAATCTGACCATCTGCCATTAACTAAAATGTAAGTACCTTTATATTAGTAGTCTGCTGCATGCTTTGAGGCTCTGTAAGGGGTTAGGGCGGTAATGAAGAGAAGAGAAGAGAAGAGAAGAGAAGAGAAGAGAAGAGAAGAGAAGAGAAGAGAAGNAGAAGAGAAGAGAAGAGAAGAGAAGAGAAGAGAAGAGAAGAGAAGAGAAGAGAAGAGAAGAGGCGATACAAACACCATTGTATTAGTAGCCTAATCTCGTAATGGTATTTGGGCGGGGAGCGGAAAGAATAGAAGAGAAGGAAAGGCCAAGGCGCAGACAGGTAATTTGGGGAATGGATACAATTGAGAGGTGTTTACTAGTTATGCAAGGGTTTTGAGTGGCATTGCTTGGAATACCCCATTATATAGTTGTGTTCGAGATATTCCATGGTTTGCCACAAGGAAGCATTTTAAAACTATATCATCCCACAACATTGAAAAGCCATCAAAGCCGCAATGCCCGATGAAAACACGGTGGAGTACCGCAAAATATACAACAGCTTCTAGCATTCTGATTGGCTGTACAGTCTACTCTCGCCTTGAGGACACCCCCATATTAAAAACATCTCGCTATTGCAAACAAGAGGAACAAAATCCCCGGCAAGAAATATTTACAAAGGAATTACAGTAATAGTTCCTTTTACAGTTCCCTGCGTCATCTTGAAAGGTAGCCGTGCCTTTGAATCGATGCGAGACGAAAGGTGAGGTTAAAATGATAGTGACATTTTTTTAACTCTTCGGACGATCATTGACATGTCTCTATCATTGTAAGCAGTCGTAGAGCGCGACAAGAAGAAGCTTAAAAACAGAGTCTGACTATTCTCATTCAAAATTCAAATTTCAAATCCAATTTTTCCAAAGCATACTTACCATCGTTGTCAATAATGTCGATAGATGCAACCCTAGGTCTCACAATAACTCTGGGATCTCTCGTTGTGAGAATGAGTCTGAAGTTTTCCAGTCCTTCTTCGAGGTTGTCGTCATTGATTCTAACGAAGACTTCTTTGTTTAATTCGTTGGCAGCAAATGTGATGACGGTTGATCTGATTCCTTGGTAATCTCGTGGGGAGGAAGCTGTTCCATCGCGACTAAACAGTCTTTGATTTAAAAATAACAATTCATAAATAATTTTCAGTTTTGAGTCATTAAATTCTGCTAATTTTACGCAAAAGTAGTTCGCTTTTGGGTTCCCTCTTTAGCCGGTCTTCGTTCTCTCGCTCTCTCTTCCTCAAATAAAAATAAAAGGCATTCATTTATGTGTTCATTCACATTCATTTATTCATCCATGTATTCGTTCATTGATTCATTGCTTTATTTTATTCATCCATGCATCTATTCGTAAATATTTAACAGTTATTCGCCTAGGGCGAGGTGAACATTTTCTCAGAATTACTGGTTACCCGCCCAATCACAGGGCTCAAAACACTATATTCAAGTTGCGCAAATTCCATGACGTGATGATCAAATACACGGAAACAAAACAACACACATAAATACTTAAATAAAATATATAACCGAAAAAGGAAATAGAGAACTAGATAATAGCTATAATAATTCAATCATTCATTCTATTGTACTTGTAAAAAAAATGTCAAAATTCTCTTTTCCTGAAATATCAACATTATTTTATTACTTACATAGCTGAATGTTGAAATTGTGTGGCCCCAGTTCGCTTGAGTACAACCTTTACTGCTCGAGCGGTTTCAGCAACACTGTATTTCGTCTTTTCGAAGCCAATTATTGCTTTAAAGGAGGAATAAATTTTTTTACTTGAGTACTGATAAATACATAGATTTATCCATTATATTATTTATGTTAGATCTCTGTTGGGTTAGCCCAACAGAGCTGGGCTCCAAATTAAGTGCGCCATAACACGTCCTCGTTGGTTTTTACGATGTAATGTTTTTTCATTTAAAACCACGTGTCACTCTATTGAGAATACGATTCTTCGTTTGAGTAGCATATTCCTGTGTCTTCTCGTGCGCAACCGTTAACAAAGAAATAATAATCTAAATGATGACACGTTGTCTAAACGGGGCTAACATTTTGTCCAAGGTAATGAGATATATACAGGTTGAATAAGTTTTCTTTGTATATGCCGTCTATATATATCTTATCATCATCCATATGAGTAGATAAAAAGATATAACTAGCTAAAAACTAGTATGAGCTGCGTCGGTGTTTCTAATGAAACAGTAATGATGAAAAGATAAATTATACACCGTGAAAAGATGAAAAAACTTACTGACGTTTCGGACGCTAGTCCTTCGTCGGAGTAAAAGAGTATATAAGTAGAGTAGGATGACACAAAGTCTTTGTAACATCCCAGGGGAAAAAGCCAGGGCAAAGACAACTTTAATTTGCGCGTGGGGATTTTAATCCTTGAAATGATTTACTATGTACTGTTTTCTTACCATCGTCATCAACAATCTTAACACTAGCAACATTTGGCGTGATCATCGTAACATCTCTATCACTGCTCGTCATCATAATAGTGAAGCTTTCCACACTTTCCACCACTCTGTTGTTGATGATTTGTACCCTGATACTCTTCATTGTCTGCCCGGCTGCGAATATCACCGGGAAGTTTACAAGAGGACCGTAGTCGCTATTGGCCTTGGTTGTTCCATCATTGGTATTCAATCTGTAAGTACAGTTGAAACGCAATAATGTCAATAATGTGTATAACCCACCCGTATAGACACCTTGCATTGAATTCCTAGAGGAACTGTTCTGGGGGACAAAACAATAGGCCGTCTTTTCTTATGCAAAAAGAAAAAAAAGAAAAGGAAAGGAAAAAAAAATCCATTGTTTTGTCCCCAGAACAATTCCTCGAGGGACTCAGTGCAAGGGGTCTATATGTATTAAGTTTATGTCTCATAAAAGCCAGTCAGCCCTAATGATAAGCATTTTTCTCATGACCAATGACCAACCACATATTTCAACCTAAAAAAGTGACCCTATTTTTCATAACCCACCCAACCCTCTTTACTTTTTGACCATCCCCTTAGTAGTGTCTTAGTATTTTTTTGATTTTTGATATTCAACTTACATAACTTTAGTGGCACTATTGATGTTACCAACTCTGTAGACCTTGACTGGGACGTATGTGCTACTTTCGATGACATTGTAAGTTGCTGGACGGAATCCAACTTTGACTAGAAATAGTAGAAAAGAAAATGAAATAGAATTTTTGAATTTGTTCTTTTTTTCTTTAGTTTATCTCACGGGCCGCGGAACGGGTGGGACAGGAAACTATAGCGCCCCCCCCCCCCCCCCCCCCCTCTCCGTTCACCGCGGAATTTATGGGTATGAGTGATGTTTTAAAAGTTATTAAAATTGGATGAGCTTTATGCAAGTCCAATTTGAGAACTTTAAAAACATGGCGAGTATATATATTTTTAAATGAGCAACTAATTGGGACTCTACAGAGTACAATTTGGGATTTAATTGTACTCCTCTTGTCCAATCAGAATCGAGTAATTTTGTTGAGTCTATTATAAGTTTTGAAAAAGGTAAAGCATAGTTCCTCCGCCTTATTTTAGCTCTTACGTACCATCGTTATCCACGATATGTATCAAAGCCTTTGCAGGACTAACGACAGAAACCTTGTGATCTTTCGTAGTCAATTTGGCAAAGAATGTTTCGATCTTTTCGAGGATCTTATCGTCTACAATCTTGATCTTAACTTCCTTGTGCATTTCGGATGAAGCAAAGGTAACAACGACGTCTTTTAATGGATGGTAGTCTGCTGGAGCCATGGCTGTTTGGTCACAAGTGTTCAGGCTGAAAATTAGGGTTTTAAAAAAAATATTTTGCCATCAACAACTCAAGATTACAAAAACGATTTCAGTCGTATCTGGCTAGCATCCAATCAAAGTACTTTTACTGTATTCCTCATTATTTATTTTAATTTTCATGTATAAGGTTAGGTCCAGGTCACCCATCCAAGTAGTAACCCGGCCCAACCGGGCTTGACTCGGAATCCCACGTTTTGTCCACTGGGCCATAGTTTTAATAAATTAGCACAACAACAGCATTGAAAACAATGCACCGGATAGACTAGACTTTTTTAAATCATTTTTTCAACCGATTCCGTGCGTGGCAGAGATGCAAGGGATTAGCCGATATGGTCTGGGGGCCGGCTGGTCTCTCCCCTGATGCTTCGGCTAGAACATTTTCTTGCGTAATTCGTACACCCAAGGGCAGAAGGATTTAATCGCCGTCAGGTCCGAAGTCCATACGACACCCCAGCTCTGCGGATGTCTCGGGGGTATGGCAAATTTGAATCGGTGTTGCTTTTGTTCCCTTTTTTATTTATTTATTTATTTATTTATTTATTTWTTTATTTWTTTTTTTTTTTTTTGCTTTTTAAATTAATTTATCAGCTTCAGTTGAGGGGCTTGTTTTTGCTTCAATTTTTGAATTCTTTTAATGGATTAAAACTCTTGACATTTGTAATTTTTTAAGAATTATTAATTTTCATAACGTTAATATTGGCTAGCATTTTCAGTTATAATTAAAGAGTTCTTTGTATATTCGAAGTCTGTGCTTTTCTGGTTTGAAACACTGCCTGTGGACATTTTCTTACAAGAGGTTTCGTTCTACTCGGTGCATTTCTTTGCATTTTCCCTATATTTATATGTTTTCTGTTTTCCCAATTCCATTTGCTGTCTTGGGAAAAGTTTCAAAGTGACATAAGCCTTTACTCGACTTGGCTTCTCAATATTTTCTATTCATAATCGTATGATTTCTGTTTATATGTTATTGGGATTACGTATATACTGGTTTTTTTTTTTWAAAAACTGCTGCGCACATTTTTTCATGCGCCCTTTGCTAAACCCGGACCCAAGTGGTTCATGCAAATGACTATAGAAAAAATAACGTATCCCTGTGAAAATCTCACGGTACGAGCATGCATGCCGTTTCGCGCGCTGTGATTGGTTTAAAAGAGAAAAGATGTCACTTACATGGCAGTGTTGGTATTCTTCAGGTAACCAGTTCTAAAGACGTTCAGGACGACACATCCATCACTCTCACGAACGCTGTATTTTGTTTGCTTTAAACCAATTTGCACTACAAAATACAAATATATACAAATTCACTATAACCCTGTATAAGGTGGACGTAAAAACCCACTGAAAACGCTGGTGTCTGACCTCACAATCTTCAGGGTCTGTGGTTATTGTTGCTACAGGGCCTACACTAATAGCAAAATATGACTCTTTTATTATATGACCGTGAATCTTAGAGCCTAGACACTAGCAAATCGAGCAATCTGATTGGATAGATCGCATCGCGGACTGGTCTAGATTCTCCGGTATTAACCGGTCCGATCGCATATTAATCTTACGGCGAAAACATTTTGTCCTTTTCAATGAAAAGTGGTCATATAATAAAACTCTTATCAACCGAGCTTGGCCGGTCTGTACGGGATAATCTTGACCTTGGTCGGGTACAGACCTCAGTCAAGATTATCCCGTACAGACCTCCCGCTCGGTTAATAAGATCTAAATATTGACCTTTAATTTCCCTCACGACAAAAGCTCAAAATGTTATGCCATATTTGTTCTGCAATCTGATTGATATTTGTGAGACTTTGACCCACTCATGGAAGAGTGCCGATACTGGTTATAGTTATCTCTCTAAAACAGAAGGCGGGAAGATGCTTCACTTCCTTTCTCTGTTCTACCTGTAATTAAGGATTGTTTTAACTAGAGCTACAAGTGTTTAGGAGTTATTTTTGAGCCAGAGTCTCACTGGTGAATAGTTAAAAAGAAGTACTAAAAAAATAGTAGGTCAGTCGAAGAAGATCATTGTGTGCTAACAGTCCTAACATTGGTAGAGAATCACAGATCAGTCTAAACATTATATCTTTTTCATCATGAAACACTTACCATCATCGTCAATGATAGTTATTTTGGACGAAGCTGGACTGACTTCTGTTACACCAGGATCGTTGCTTCTCAAATGAACTAAAAATACCTCAAGGCCCTCTAGGATCTTGTCATCTATGATGGTGATGGTAACCTTTTTGGTGGCCTCGCCCGGTTTAAAGATAACCTCTGTTTCTGGGACATGGATGTAATCTTTGGATGGTAATGCTGATCCAGGAATAGTTGAAACTCTGAAATAAAAAAATAAAAAAATAAAAAAAATAAAGAAGTACTATATAAAACCAATCTATGGTACCAATGCAAAGAGTTTTCAAGAATGATGCCAGCATATATTCCTTCAAAGACTGACTTCAAGATCGAAATGGCTCATAGGTTTTTGTACTGCATGTTTTGATGGCCAAAGTAATTATTGATTATCAAGGATCTTTATGAATTATTGAAACTATATATTACTGGCTTCGGGTAAACGGCAGCAAACAATAAATGAATAAACATAAAATACTTACAAAACTTTATTGGTTCCAATGGAATTTCCAGATCTGAAAACCAAAACTTGGAAGCTTCCAATGTTTTCGAGAACAGTCCTCGTAACTGGACGAAGACCAACCTTGGCTGTTGCAAATAAATAAAAAATAAATACAAAGCTTTTCCCGATATGTCAATGAAGACTAATTTTAGATAGAAATGAAACTGATACAACTGAAGGTGCACGCGCGTGCTGTGTGCCCTTACGAAGTATGCGCTGTCAACCAATCAGAACTCGAGATTTATAACAGTTGTTTTAACTTTTAGTCATTCATTAGATCTGCATACTGATGATGAGGTAGGGCACCGAACAGGTTTAAAATTATCAAAAAAAAGTTTACCTGGACAAGGAGCTGTGTTGTATTGTTTTGTTTCTCTTGCAATTCCTTCACAAATTTTCCCTCCGTTTAGCGGAGCAGGATTTGAACACGTTCTTGTTCTGTACCGCATGGCTCCTCCACATGTCCTACTAGGATCGCTCCAATCACTCCATTCTGACCAGTCTCCATCAACTGTGAAACAAAATCGTATTAGAAGCCAAAAGAGCATAAAATTAAAGAGAGGGAAACCTCTTAATATCACTCACGCCATGTGAAGACAATGTCTAATAGAATGCTTTTATCCCAAAACCTGAGTTATGACATTGCTGTCATGAAACCCTATTCTATCTATCAGTTTCAAACTCACCTGTACATTCCTGGGTGTTACAGGCTTGACTTTCCTTGTTTGGACCCTCGCATTCCTTTCCTCCATTTTGTGGTGCGGGGCTGTTACATTCTCTCATTC